CCCTATAATTACGATTCCTATAAAACTACGAAAAAATATACGTATTTTGGAAATGTTGAGTCGGATTAGTGTAGAATCGATTAATTTTATGGAAGAAAACCTTTCAATCAGCCGTAGTCCGTAAACTTGACACGTGTCGGGCTGTGATTGGAACGACTTGTAAGAAATCGGATTCCTAATAAATTGGAACGTATCTATATCTTATAGGGGGGTCGACTGTATTTATACGAAATCCAGGCATAAAATATCGCGAATAAGATTCAGTCATCTTTTAAATATTTTAAAACGATTATTATAGTACATGTATTTTTTTATTTATGTAACTTTTTTCCAATAACTGATCACGAGGTATAATTTCGCAGCACGTTCGATTCCGTTTTCAAATAAGATCTCGCCGAAGAACCCGTCCCCACCGTACCAACAGTTACACCAATGGGTTATCGAGTGCGGAGTGCAAGAGTTCCCTCATTATAGGAATTTACTTTTGTTTTAGGATTTGTTTCGTTTTAATTAAAGTAGAATTTCGGCTAAATGTCTAGCCAAATAGTTAGTTTTAAAACAAATTTGAAAACGCGAAAAATTTTCAATTTTCTTAAAAATAGAGAAGGCACGCATTTAACAAGAACAGACTGGTGGTTGTGTTCTTTAAAGTGTATACAATCGACCCCCTATAACGTGGTAGATACGTTCCGCTTTATAAGAATCCTCAAATACATGAGCCAATCACAGCCCGGCACGACGGACTACGGCTATTTGAAAGGTTTTCTTCCATAAAATTAATCGATTCTAAACTAATTCGACTCAACATTTCCAAAACACGTATAATTTTTTGGGAATAATCCGTATAAACTATGCTATAAACAAAAAATTGTAGGATTACTTACAGAGCGTGCACCGTTCGACGTCGCCATTGCTTAAGCTTGTTTTCGTCGCGAAGCGGCGCACCGAACGGCGGCCGCGTTTTCTGATAAGTTATTTTTCTGCGAAAAATTCGTTGAACTTTGGAGACATCATTAACAGAAATAATTTTTATAACCGTTGAATAAAAAATGTTTTTTTCCACAAGAAATGTATAAAATTATAGTACTGTATTAGGCTGCGTTCACATTAGGCGTTTTTAAACGCGCGTTTTAAAGAATCAAAAGTTCTGTATAGGCATACATACTCAAACGTGCCCGCTTTTGGCCAACGCGCGTTTGACAAGGCATTGTCAAACGCGCGTTGATCGATTTTTGTTAAAACGCGCGTTTTGAGATATATGTGCTGCCATGTTGTTGTACATTCGATCGCGCGTTTTCGGGTAGAGTGGACGTACTGTACGTTGGCCGAATTGGAGAACGATCGTTTCGATACCGATCTATTTATTGATGAAATCTAAAAGAGACCAGCCATCGTCAAATGATTTTATAGATATTCTAAAAGAATTAAAAAACTTGGGTTCATATTATCTTAGTTTTGGATACGTCAGAAACATTCCATGCGTCAGTCTATCTTGTAATATTGGGTGCACCCAAAATTCTCTTTGCCTCTATCATCGTCTTTTATAGCGACGATGGAGGAGGCACACATAAGCAATTACTTTCGCATCCATTTCCAAACTGAGCCAGTGCTAACGCTCCACTAAACGATCGTCGAACGCCGAGCTAACGCGCGTTTAACGCAACGCAAAATGCCTAATGTGCACAAGCCCTTAGACAAAACTCTCCATAGCGTGTAAGTATCAATAGTTCGGCTGCTCGTCCACTATTGGTCCAGATTCGACCAATTCTGTCGCGACACGAGTCGGCGATGACTTTTTACCGCATTTTACGAGTCTCTTTTAGCGTCTTTATACGAATACGGTCGCAATTTTTTCGCCGCGATATACGAATCTGTATTATATCAACCCGCGTTATAGGGGTCTACTGTACTTAAAACCGATTTTATAAGATTTATTCTGTATCACGCGCCTAGTTTTACAGCGAGATTTATTGTATCTTTACCGTCTAACAGTTAAATTAGGGCTATGTGGTTTCTGAATAGAGTTAAAATCCGGTTTCCGTTTCTATAACCGGAATCTCCGAGGTAAGAATGCGAAATTTTGCCGCGATATCATTTGTAATTTTTTACTCCTCTAAAACTCGTGGGTCGTGCTCGGAACTCAGTAAACTCAACAAAATAGATATGTACGATATACCGCTCCATTAAATGAAAAATATAGGCTAATAATCACTAAGTTGAAATAGTAATATCTGTAAACTGGAAACAATGTGTAAAACGATATTTATGATCTCAACAACACTGCAATATCATTACAGGGAACTTCTCTGTACAGAGGTAAGGACTAGGAGGATTAAGAGGCTTTGTTGGTTGGAATATATATTCCATCAGCAACTTCTATCGCATTAGGAAATCTTGCTGTTCTCAAACGAAGTTGTAACCTGCAAAAAAGAAACAGAACTCTAAAGAAGAAATTATTTATTGTGACATCGTGCCGGGCTGAAATTTTTAATCATATTTTTAATTTAAAATATATGCTTTCGACCCCAAATTAGTAGTGTCTTGCCGCTGTACGGTATACATCGTACTTCAATATTTTCCCGCGAAAAGGAGTTAGATAACGACCGGCACGACTCTATTGCTAAAAGGAAAAGTATGATGTACGGGAGCGAGACACTACTAAAAAATGAAGAGCATCGTGACGAAAATTGCAGCCCGGCATCGTGACAATATCGCAATAAATAATTACTCGTTTTCTTTAAATTCCAAATAAAATTTTAAAAAATACATGTATACGCCTTAATTTTAAAGTAACTTCTCAATCTTTAGTTCAAAATAAAGGAAAAATAACTTACCTAAAAGAACCCGGTGTTACCAATATCCGAAGGACAACCAATAACTGTTTTGCTTGTACTGTCCTACGACTACGTCCATCTATATGTTCCTATTACTAATTAACGTAAGGAGCTATTTTAGGTAGTAGTAATTCAAAATTACCGTAATTTTTTTCATAATTGTAAGGGCGCATCCACGCATTAGCTATTCGCCGAACACCGAGCAAAGATTCGGCATTTCCCGATTCTCGTCGGTAAATTGTGCCGTAAAAAGAAGACGAATAACTTATTGGCTCCCTCCTTTTCGTGGGTTCCATCCACACTCCTAGGCACTCCGAGAATAACGAATATGTGGATTTGGTCACCAGTGTTTCCATTTTAGTCCTTTTTAACTAAATCGTATCTTTTGATTTTGAATTTGGTTTATTTTTTTGAGTTTGTTTAATAGTTTAAATATTTCTGATCGTGTTTTGCAATACGGTTTTATTGGATTGTTTAAAAAAATTTCCTTTTTCACATTTACATTATTTTGCTTTGGTGAAGCGATGCCATTCGCTATCATCTTTTAGGCTTTTTTCTATTAATACATTCCAGCTACTGGTAATATAAAAGCGCCACAAATTATTGTTCGAGAACTATCTATTGTTCTAGATCTTGGACGAACATTCGTCGTACTCGCAACGAATAATCGACTGTGTATTTGAGCGCTTGCCGAATGACAAACAGTTCGTCAAATACAGTAGTTTGACATAATGCAAATAGCGGATGTACCCTAAGATCAACAATTTTTTCAATCGTATGGTCAGCAACTATGACTCGGATCCAAAAACATTCTGAACTTTCATCTCAAAAGTTTCTACACTAAAGTTAGCCTTTTAAAACCCGGCTAATCCCGATGATGAATATATGCCAAGTATATCACATTTTCAATTTAAAGGTTCATTGCATTTGAGGCTTCGTACAAACCTTTATAAATTTTCTCTTTCAAAAATATTTTTACGTTACCTTTAACCGCGGTAGATGTGCCTTGTCCGTCTTTTAGTCTTGACTTACAAAATCAAAATCAACGATTATGCATTTTCAGATTTTTCACTCGTGGTTTCCAACAATGTTCTTTACCATACAATATTAATAACTACTATGTCTTTGACGAAAATTTCTGAAATTTAGAGGGAGGTTTGGATATTAGGGGGAATTGTTTCTGCTTTGAAGTGATGCCATTCACTATCTTCTTTTAGGCTTTTTTTCATTAATTAATAGATATGAACTATTCATAACTATAAAAGCTGCGGCATAAATTATTTTTTGAGAATTGTTCATTTTCTGGATCTCGGACGAATATTCGTCGTTTCCCCAACGAATCGATGCTGGAAAAATGATCGAATATGTACAGGTGTGCGCTCGTCGAGTGAAAAATCTAGTAGATCTAGTTTTAAAAAACGCCAAACTGAATACACTGATCACCAGTTCACACGTTCGCTATTCGCCGAATGCCGAGTAGTGTTGATGAACAATACGAATAGGCTACGTGGAGACGAATATTCGTCTTCTTTTCGGCACAATTTACGACAAACGATTCTTTTTTTTTAACACGAGGGCTTTGTTCAAAGGGAGCCGCTCTCGTCCTTTATATTATCACCTTATGTAAAATATTAAAAAATAAAGATCGTGGTGAAAGCAATTCTTACCTTTTCTTCGAAACTTCAACTTTTGTTCACGAATGTAGAGCATACATATATTATATACACACAAAAATTCAAGATTGGCATTAATAGTTTTTGAACAATGGCATCTAATATTTCGATACAAATAATTTAGGATTTTAGGAGGAAGTTTCTCACATCTACATAAATAAAACTGAAAAATTTTGGATTTAGTCGTTTTCATTTTGAGATTTTGGTAATTGTTATTTGATTCAAAAACACGGATTTTCTTGTTTATTTCATTAAACAAAATAATAATAATATTCTAATCACTGATAATTCAATTGCATTTTTATATGAACGGACTTGAAATTACAGTATTTATAAATAGAAGACTGCTTTATAAACACCGATTGATAGATACAACAAATCGATAGATTTGCAATGGGCGTGAAGAATACAGTTAAACAATTGATTTAAAGCCATACAAAATAAGAAATGTATATAAAAACAATTATAATTGTCATTACAATGAATCTTTTGGACTACACAACTTATTTTCTTATATTAAAATTTCATCATAATGGATAAAGAAGAGAAAAAAATTATATGCAATTTTCATTTGATAGTAGTCAATAAATGCCACTAATCATTCCAAAACTTTAATTTTTTGATTAAGGCTGATTGTAATCTCTTTGGTTATGCACGCGAGCGATCTTCAGCAGATGGCATTAAAAATTCAGTTTTTCTACGGAAAAATCCTTTTCCAAAAATTCTTGAAATCGGAAATAGATAGGATCAAATAGTTTTTTTCCGTTAGAATCCTATTTAATGCTTCTATTAACGTACGGTTGAAAATCAAATTTGTTAATTTTCTACGGACTTCAAAAATTTGGTTTTTTAACAATTTACCTTGAACGATGACGATAAACTATCAAAACTATCAGCTGGGAAACTAATAATTAAACGTACAGTACATCTCTGATCCCATTTTTTATTCGCCTTCATTTCATCTCTCCCTTGACAACAATCTGAAGAGTATAAATGTCAATTTAACACTTAGAACAGCAAAGAAAATATATTTTCAATCTTTTATACGCATCTTCAATCTCCTTATCTTTAACAGAACTAACTATATAATCAGTTGTTAAAACTCGTGGTTATCTAAGAATTCATGCAATTATCTCATATAAATCTTCTGGGGATGAAGCATTTCCAGATTATTTCTCTTCTAGATTCTCTAAAATGTTTTTTTTTTCTTTTTTTTTAATTCTAGATGAGGATAATCATAACCCTCTCTCTTCTAGCGATTATCAGTTACCTGCAAAATTTCTAGATGCTGGAGAGCTACTTCCTTGCAATCAAAATCAGAGATGATGAAAATATTTTTGCTTCTTAGTTTTTAGGAATAAACCAAAACTGTTGTTCAAAAATATTTAATGAAATTCAGAATACATGTTTTTCAGTCCAATTAATAATAATATACAACAAAGCACACTATAACTCAAATAACAGGTCCGAGAATATAGCACATTGATACAGTATATATCGTACAGTATAATACAGCAACTACAGTAAATCATATCTCAATTTATTATTATAAACACACAGTATTCTAATTAATATACATTTATATACAGTATAAAAACTCCTAGCTTTAAAAATTATATTTAAATATTGCATATTAGCAATGATAAAGATACTTGAAACTATTGTTATTCTTTTATTTATTCTTTCAAATATCTTTAGTAAAAGGCAATTACTTTCCTGAGTGCATTACCATTATCATTAATGACTAAAATTAATAAGTCAAAGAGATGGATGTTTGATACTTCTTTTGAATAAATCCAGACGTTTAAAACCCTCTCAACAATTACACAATATAGTCAAATGTATTATCTTAAAGTTACTTAGTGCATAATTTATATATATTGTTTCAAAATAAAAAAAAATTTAAAACATTTTATGTTTACACTTTAGAAATATTACATTTAAGTATCAAAATAAAAATTAAGACTTTTTAAGAAAAATGAAAATGTATAGAGATGTGTGATCATTTATAGAAACAAGATCTAGATCCAAGAGGTTGTTTAGACTTTTTTCAGAATCTATGCCATGGCGTTCAACCTGAATAATGATATTAATGATGATTGATTACTTGCTTGAAGATGAGAATTGCTTAGCAAAGAGGATATTCTAAGCCACAAGTGATCGAGTTTAGAAACACCAAAGGTCAGAAATTAATTACTATGTAATCAGGAAAAAAGAACTTTGACCTTTGCAAACCCTAAATAGTTATCTTAGGAACAGTAATAAGGAAAGACGACAGAAATTGTTATTGCCAATATAAATATTAAATTTTGAATCTAAGTGTAACATAAAATAACCTTAAAATATTACTATTTTTTTATTTTTAATTAGAACATTGTGGACTCTCAAAATTAGTTCATCAGATCCGAAGAGCTACAATGTCAAAAGCTGAAAGCATTATTCTGCCATTTTTCTTGCAACTGACAAATTAACCAGATGCTAGTTTTATCCAATGACATACAAAGCTTTTTATTTCTCAATCACTGGCTACTAAGTATAATCAATAAAACGACACCAATAATTTTCAAGGATTCAATTTATTATTTATTTGATGATAAAGCATTTTTGAAAGAAATAGTTTCATTGTCAGATCTATTCTTAACAGTGACACTGACAAACAGAATAAAAAATAAACTACCACCATTCAAATAATAAATATAATCTAAAATAATTAAATTTCTTTTACATTTGATTTGTAATTGCCACTATAAAGATTAAGTAGAACAATGAGACTATTTATGTTTCAAAAAACATTTTATCATCAAATAAATAATAAATTAACTCCTTGAAAATATGAGTGTTGTGCACATATTCAATATCAGAACTATAAAATAGAATCACTTGTCAACAAATGAGAAACTGCTATTGCATGACAGATCAAATGGGAATTACTGATATCTGAATTGATTGCTTGGGTTTATGAACCTCCTGGACCAAGCTTGAAATTATTGGTTTCTGACATGAAAGTGATATTGACTTTTTAAGCAAAGATGGGTGAATATATAGAATATGATGTATGTTGTGAATGTAGTATGTGTAACTTGTCATCTCATTCAAATTTCTCATCAATATAACTGATAAAAAAAATCTATTGAATATGCGCACATGACCAAAATCTTATCAGTGGAAATACATCGTGTCTTTGTATCACTTTGAATGACTCAGAAATTCATGGATCTCTATGCATTGTTCTCTTTGCTAGTCAATGCTTGAATGTGACTATGAAATATTGCTTTGGTTGTTTGCAGCTATATAATTACTATACGATCTAGTATGCCAAATCTGTCTTGCAGATTGCCATTTGCTGTACTGGTCAAAGCCAAGATTTAAGCAAGTACTTAATCTAAAAAAGTAATTAAATTTTATGGGTAGAGGCAAGTTTGATTTAGACCTATTTTTATTCAGGTCTAGGCCATGGGGTCTGACATGACCAACAATAATTAATAATGGTCAATTATTCATTCAAGATCAATAAAATTCTTAGTACAGAAAATGGTTTAAGACACAATTTTCTTGTTTTCTGAACTGGTCCCTAGGGTTAAACATACATTATAACGACACATCCTTGTGTGTTAGAAAATAGAATTGTGCAGAGATAACTAATAAATTTTTTGCTATTTTAAAGATAAAACAACATTCAAATAAGTCAAGAGACAATGTAAATAGAAGTATTATTAATAAAAACAATATTAATTTTAATTAATAAAACTGTAATTATATTATTCCTTCATCTGCATAGGATTTTTAGATAATAAAATTGAAATATTTATAATTAAGTTTTACAAATCAAATATTTCTAAATGATAAATGGTAATAAAAGCAATTATTAATAATAAAAAGTTAATGTAACTTATCTGATAACAAAATGTATGATTTCACATAAAATAATTTAATATGGGTCATGTATTAATTACATGTACAGTTTTTTAGCCACATTTGACTCCCTCCCGGCATCATGTACTGTACAATGATGTACAGTTCATTTCATGAATCTTGGCCATGCTGTAAAAATGTGCAGTAGCAGGGACCAGTCTATTTATTTTGTGAAAGGAACAAATTATTAAAAGGTCATAGTAAATTACCAAAAAAGTGCTTTTTAAACTTTTTAAAATTTCCAGTGCACTAGCCAAATACCGTGTACTGTATTGCTTGGCTAAGATATACAAAATGATCTGTACTTTTGGCAAACTCATTCCTCTTTATTACATGTACTGTACAATAGTTCATGGACCTCCAACATTGAAGAAATTAGAAAATCTTTTCAGAACTTTTTAATTAAACTGACAGTTTATTCACATGAATAATAAGTAGGACATATTTAAACAACAAAATTTGTTCTTATATCAATAAGTAACAAAATTTATTTATAAGAACAAATTCATATGCCACTAATACAACTAAAACAATGCTTCATCCCTCTTTCCATCATGTACTGTACAACAGGGATGGACAACCTGCTGCCTGCATTACATAAAATATGAATAAATGTATTAATTGACTCCCTCCCGGCATCATGTACAATGATGTACAGTTCAGTTCAGTTCAGTTCGAGTGATGTACCATCACTCAAACTGTACATATAATTAATGGACTTTTTGTGTTTGGAAACTTCTTTAGCTTTCTGATAAGTCCTTTCAATGCAGTTTAAGGAGGCACATAGCAAAAATTCAAACGTTATTTTCTACAACTTATGTATGTGAATAGTTTTTCCGCAATGAATTTAGTAAAAATTAAAACAAGAAACCGACTAACAGACACATCAAAACTAATTTAAAACTAGCAGTGACTAATATTTAACCAAATATTTCCAAAATATTACATTTACATCAGTTCCAGAAGCTAAGTTAAATATACCCATGCTAATTTATAATTATATATGAACAAATAATTGTGATTTACCGACATTTTTTTCTTCTCTTTTCTCTTGTATGCAGCCCGCGTCAGTTCAAAAGTCTTGAAATGCGGCCCTTACATAGGAAAAGGTTGCCCATCCCTAATGTACAGTACAATGATGTACTTTTTGTGACTACCATCACTCAAACTGTACATATAATTAATGGACTTTTTGTGTTTGGAAACTTCTTTAGCTTTCTGATGAGTCCTTTCAATGCAGTTCAATATTACCAGAAAAACATGCAACACCACAGAATGTAAATGTGCACAAACACTTAAGTATACTTATATGAAAGATGTCATTAAAACAAAGCATCAAATATAGTTTTGATCATTGTAAACAAAAATTATTATTATTGTTCCATAACAATTGGAAAAAATCTGATTTTAAATTCATTTGAAAATCTTGATTTATTCCTGTATTCAATAATTATGTTAAAATATGCAATAAAATGTTTAAATTCTGAAGGAAGTTTATCTTACAGTCAAAATTATTGATCTGTAATTAGATTTGTTTTTCCCTAAACGTGTATAAAGATGAACTAACAAAATAAAAAATAAGCAATCATTTTGCATTTGTTTATATTAGTAATTACAATAGAATTCCTTTAATCTAGAAGCAATACAAATGAAAAATGTGCTTTGGCAATGAAAAAATAATTTCAACACTAGAGTTAATCCAGAATTACTTAACAGGTTGGAAGTTCTACTGTCAATCTTTAGTAAGATTGCATGCTGAGTTAATATGCAATCTTAATATGAATTAATGCTGGAATTAGTATAGCAGTAGAAATTTTCAATGATTTGTACCAAAGACCTTTTGGCCAAATGTTTGCCTGTCTTAACTCATCATCCCACCAAATCATCAAGTTATCATGTATACTTGATCATTTCTTCTACTTACTTGTTAGAATAAGTTAACAGCCCTCATCTTGGCACATAAACTCAGTGACTAGCCACAATGTAGTGTGTTTATTGTGTTTCCAACAGACTGAAATTGTAGACTAAATGGTTTTGTGCCAAGTCTCTTGCCACCTTTTTGCTTACACAGACTGTTCATCAAAAATCCAAAATGCACAGAGATTCATAATTTCATACCATCTGGAAAGCACAAGCATATCAAATTATTACAATAATTTGCAAAATTCTTAACATGAGTAAATGAAGAGTTGTTGTCTAGAGGAAGCATGTACCACTAACGATTCCTTAAGAAATTAAAACAGTTTGTAGTTTCAAGTGGGAAACGTTTGACTATTTATAATATAAACCGAAGGAATAGATTGTTTGATAATACGTACAGTACAGTACCTTTCCTCAGTGTCTGATTAAAGAACTTCTGTATTAGCATCATCACCATCATATATGGAATTAGTATTACATGTTGTAAATATTACATAAGCATATGAATATATCAGAAAATAAAATTTGTTACTGCAATTATTACAATAAAAGGTATTTGATTTTGTACTATTTTTATGTTGGTAAATTCATCAGGTATGACTAGTTTTTTCTTATGCAAGAGAGAAATCACCCCTGATCTGAAAATGTTATCATTGTTTCTATTGGTATGTTTTAAAAATTTAGAAGTTAATATCATTCAATAATAATGTTGATAACAGACTAACTGAAAAGATTTATTCAAAATTTATTATTTATTTGATGATAAAGCATTTTTGAAAGNTAATATTTATATACTGTACTAAAATATATATCTGAAACTACTTTTAATAAATAAATTGAATAAAAAATGAATTGCATTAAAATAAAATCTCCATAAATATAGTCAGCCTTTATATTTCTTTTTTTAATATAAAACTAAGCTTTAATTTTAAAAAAATAATAAATAATATTTATTTTAATATAACATTACATTATATAATTTTATCCTGATTCTACATACTTCGATTAAGTTATGCAGTAAACCAATTAAATGTTTTCATACCCATCAAAAACATTCTTTCCTATAAATATATAGAAATAAACAGTGTTTAGATTAATTAAAACAAAAAAAATTGTCTGTTTATTAAACTATGAAAATTATAATTATTAAATTAGTTAATTAACAAAAGATTCAAAATTAAATGCTGAAGATGACATGAAAATGAAGAATTGGGGTAAACCAAAGACAAAGATAAGGTAAGGCAAGGCAAGTCGAAATTCTTTAACATAAACAATTCTGAAATTGTTTATATCAAAGACTTTTCTTCTTAAATGTGCTAATTCTTCATTTTTATCCAGACTAAGAATTACAGTGCAATAAAACAAAATTGTACACAAATTACTATGAGTATAGAGTAAGTCATTAAAATTTCACACATATTATTGACATTTATATTTTACAGAAGACAAAACCTTAAACTTTTAAATACTTAAAAATTTTAATTAAATAAAGCTAATTAATCATCACCACTGTTTTCTTTAAAATGTAAACTAGCAAAAATAAATTTCACAAATAAAAGAGTGTCTATGCAAATTTTCAAACTAATGACTTTTATTTTTTAAAACTTTCTACCCTGTAGGCTCTAACAGAACTTTTATCAAGCGTGTTATGAGCTCAGCCAGGCTCATGTTGGGGCTGGATGGTGAAAAGACAGAGCCATAAAAATGTCCAATCCAAGCTTAAACTAAATCCCTTAGAATGAGAAAATGGAGACTTTACCATCTCAGCCATCTGCCTATCAATTATATTATTTTAGTTCAATTACCTATTTCTGTGAACATAATCTAATTATACACATGGAATGATACTGGTAATAAAAATCTCATGTGTATAACTATTAATTAATGAAGAAGTAAACTTATGAAATGTATCTATATTTTTGTTTTTACTGGCAGAATGAATATGAGCTAATATAAAAAAAAAAATTATAACTTTTAGAGTACAACAGTGTTATGTGACGAGAAATTGAGTCTCTAGGAATCTCTTCCTCGCAGAAATTGTGTAACCCAACTGCAATAAGAGAAGAATGAGTGTGGCAATTCTTCTTCTAGCTAATAATTGAGCTGAGCTGTCCAATATGAAAGTAAAGGTTTATGGCAAATTTGTGTTTGTGAAGTTATCAACAATGACAGATTTGTTGTCCTTTATACACATCTAATCAAAGAAAGAATACTTAGTATGTGAAGAATGTTGACCTAAGAATTTGTTGATAATTTCTGTTTTTGTACACATCATTAGTTCTGCTAGAAAACTAATTGCTTCTGCAATGTCTTGTCTGTAGCTTACACAAACATAACTTCTCTCTTTCAAAACCAGAAAATCTGAATGAAAATATATTGAAAGCTCTGACAATATGCAGACAGACTAGCCATTACATATATTAATATTTTTTCTAGATATAAGCTCCTAAACTTATTAATAACACAAATTCATATTCATTTGATACTTTAATATAAATAAATCTAGATGCTGTATTTTCAACTTATAATTTATATTAAATTTGTCTAAGAAATGCAGGGTTAGCAAGAAATAAGTTTCCCACTTCAGAGAGCTCTGGAGTGCATTCTACTGCTCAAAATGAGATGAAATTTAGACTACAGATAATTCAAATAATGCACTTGACATTTCTTAAATAAAAAAATAGTACAAAAAACTGTTGATAGATGGCACTGAAGCACACAGAAATGTTGAATATGTAGCACTAAAACTGCTCAATAGGTCCTTCATTTTGAACAATGTGCTCTAATTGCAAAACCATATTTTCTACAGCTGAACGCAGTGAGTCTGTTGGAATATCCAGAACGTGGTGCCAGATGCTGTCCTTCAGATCTGGCACAGATGCAAGTCTTCTACGATAGACATTATCCTTCAGGAAACCCCATAACCAAAAGTCTTCAATATGTCCGTGTGCTCCAGTGCCACCTATCAATGGATTTTTGTACTTTTTTTAAAGAAATGTCAAATGCATCATTTGAATTATCTGTAGTCCAAATTTTGTTTCATTTCAAGCAGTAGAATGCACTCCAGAGTTCTCTGAAGCGGGAAACTTATTTCTTGCTAACCCTGTGTATATATATTCTTTTGAATGCAAGTCAAATGCAAATTCTTTCTTTAAACTTTTTCATCTATTATCTGAGTAATAATTGAAATTATAAATAATGATGCCTAAAAACTAATTACTCTTAAATTAAACTAGCAGAAATGGTAAAAAAAATTTACTAAATGCAAGTTTTTTACAATTTCTGCTGGTTTTTGATTTTTGTGGTAGTTTATAGCAATAATAATAATTATTCAATAAATATGAATAAAAAAAAGTGTGTTAATAAAAATGTATAAAGTGTATAAGAACAGGAAATTCCTCATTTAATAAATCTTTAAATTAAAATGTTCAAAAAAATTAGTATATTTTCTAGTATTTAATGTAAATTTTTAGTACAATAAAAACATTAATGTGCAGTTATTGCTCTACTCAAAATAGTCAACAAATGAAAGAATAAAATATACCAAATATCTAATTGAAACTTTATCTACAATATTCTTTAAATGTGGTAATGTAAAAGTCATTTTAAACAAAGGAAATATCCAAATTAAAAATTCAACAACTTACACTATACCTAGAGTTAGAGGGAGGCATTTTATTATCCTTTGGAAATGTTATAACAAATCAAACTCAAAATGCTTCCTTGCTTTTATGCATTTTGTGCATTAAAATTATAAATAGAAACTGATGTATGCTTCTCTTAATTAAATAAATATAACATTTTTGAAAAGAAAATTAAAAACAGAGTACTGTATTTAAATGATAGTTATAAATTACAAAATTTCCTTAAGATTTAATCAATAAACAGATTTATAGCGAGGTTGTGGCCGAAGTTTTTCTCTCTAAAATGTGAACGTCGAGCGCCGCTATCTTGTAAGTGGCACTCGCCGTTCGGTGTTCACATTTTA